TAGTATGACGCTGTGGGCCGCACCAAGCAAGTCCCACCAGACAGTATTTCATTTTATTTTTTTAATGTTTCAAGTTTCTATATGAATTCTAGTTAGTGAACACATAGTGATATTAGTTTCAGGAGCAGAAGTTTAGAGACTCATCACTTACAGCGCTCCCGACCACGAGTGCTCCCCGCTACCCCACCCCCCCTTAGCCCATCCCCTGCCCACCTCCCTCCAGCGACCCTCAGTTTGTTCTCTTAAGAGTTAAGAGTCTCTCTTATGGTTGACCTTCCCTCTTTTTAAATTTTTTTTGACAGGTCGTGTATTAAAATATTATTTTCTCTCCAAATTTCCCTCTTTTTCTGTATATATATATATATATATATATATATATATATATATACATATACATATATTGCTGACAGAGGGAAATATATATATTTCCCTCTTTTTCTGTATATATATATATATATATATATATATATATATATTGCTGACAGATGTAATTCCTGCAATAAGTTGATCTAAGGGTGGTATAATGCTATTTGTTACCTGATTAAATGTATTTGGGCTTAGAATTTGGATATACACCAGCAGAGGGAAAAAAGGACTCTTTCTAATAAAATCCAAACACATAATGCTGTGAAAAATATAGCCATAAAGCCATAGTAGAGCCGTATTTCTAATCACCTGGTTTCACAATCCATGGCATTAGAAGCTTTTCTTATGTAAAGAATTCAAATTGTATGCAGAAATACAAATTTACTCAACCAAATTAAAATAGTATCTACTCAACCAAATTAAAATGTGTATTTCAGGCCCATTTCAGGGTCGATAATGGTCACACATATTTCAGAAGGCAGTAAATAATGAGTAAGTAAATAATAATTTTTGCTACATGTAAAATCCTATACATGTAGCAAAAATTGGCTGATGCGGCTCGGGACGTGACCATCTTGTCAATAGAAACTGACTAAAAAAATCAAAAGTACAGAAACTTCTGAAAATCAGAAGTTTAACTTAAAAAAAAAAGAAGTTTAACTTAAGACTGTAAGTTGTCAACAGACAGAAATTCCTTCTGTTTCCTGGTAAATTCCCACAAATGCCTAATTTTCTTTTTTTCCTATGAATTACTAATACCTTCCAGTGTCTCTCCAAAACAGGTACCAAATAAATATCTGATGAAAGACTATGGACTAAATGAACTTGTTAAAGAGAAAGCTTTGAGATCAATAGTAGCCACTACGTAGAAGGGTTTCCGCATGTATGACTAGCAGGAAGTAACAGTATAGGGATCCCCGGGGGGTTCAGGGGTTGAGTGTCAGAGTGTGACCCGGGGTCCTGGGATCGAGTCCCGCATCGGGCTCCCTGCATGGAGCCTGCTTCTCCCTCTGCCTGTGTCTCTGCCTCTCTCTCTCTCTGTGTCTCTCATGAATAGATAAATAAAATCTTTAAAAAAAAAAGTAACAATATGAAACAATTAGACCCAGAAACAGTAGCTGGGTGAGAGCAAAAATTTATGGGTGAAGAGAAAAAATCCACAGATAACATAAAAAATTCTGACAACAAACAACAAAAAAAATCTGACGACAGCAAATGAGTAGGAATTAAGAAGCCAGGATTCCAATACCGACTATTAATTTGTTGTTGTTGCTCTACTTTGGTTGTCATATAAATTGCTTTTTTTTTTTTTTTTGTCATGTAAGTTTTAGTTTGGAATCCTCATGGGTAAGATAACAAGGCTGGATTAAACAATACCCAAGGCACATTTTGCCCAACAAAAATGTGATCGGTGGCTCATGTGGGTATTTGAGTGGATGTGAACTGAACATCCAATAAATGTTACATACTTTGAACAGAGGATTTTAAAAAACTTACATAAGGAAGCATCAATCTGTACCTAGTGTTTCAGTAACAGTGACTGGTTTTATATCAATTTGCTTCCTAATCCAAGACTTTTACATAAAGAGAAAATATGCTACAGTGGAAAGTACGTGAGCTTTGGAGACAGAGTAAGGATAAAATCCAGGCTTTGACATAATTTTTGAAATCTCTGAAAATTAAGTAATCCTCCAGATTTTCCATTTCTTCCTCTGAAAAATGAGGATAGTAATACATCATATAGTCTTTGAGGTCTCTATATATGCAAAATGTATATTAAGTACATGTGCGTGCCTAACATGCCAAAGACATGCCACGTACAGCGTCAGATCTCGATACGTGATCTCTGTTAGAACTTACCTGGATCCTACCAATGGATTCTTAATGGTAATATAAACAATACAAATAGGATCCAAGAGCAGATGACATACAAATTAAAGAGGTTTATAGCTATAAGAACCCTAAACAGTATTTTACAGATGAGGAAACCAAAGTGCAAAGAAATGATCTTTTCCAAGGTTTCCAGCCAGGTGATGCATAAATGGACCAAAAACCCAAAACGTACCACCCAGGATACTGTAACGTAATATAAAACTTAGTTCTCCTACTCACAAAGAGTAAAAATCCTATAAAAGTATGTTTTATTAAAGTAATAAAGAGGAATTAATAGGTAGGTAATTTAAAAATAGGTAGTCAGCTATTTCAAGAATTTTGACAGCATGTTTTCAGATTGCATTCTTGGAACTTGTGATCGCCAGAACATTAAAAAATACACACGTCATAAACTCTATGCTATCAGGAAAGTACTAATGAAATCATGGGATTATAATAACTCCACCCCTTCAGTGCATAACAAGTTATCAGGAAAATATTTAAGGAGCCAGTGTCAAATGTATGGAAAAACCTTTCACTAGCATGAAATTTCCGTAGTCCATGAAAGAGTCTCCTCAACTCAAAATATTTATGTTAATCATGAGAAATAATTAAATTGAATGATTAATGAGTCCGACCATTACTAGTAGGAATCAGATAAATTCTGAGAATATTCACTTTCTCACAGATTTCAATATAAATCTAATAATGCTCATAATAAAATATACTAAAGTGGAAAAGAACATTGGACAATGGAATAATTAAAATTCTGATTTCTCAAAAGAATTAAACAGAAAGAAAATAAAAACAAAAATCAAAACCTATGACAAAAATTACTGCATTAAATTGTTTTACGGACAAATTCGTACACTACTACATTGTGTATTACATCAAGACAGGAGTTCTTGCCTCAACGCCTCAATGGTTTATTCATCAAGAAGGCCACTAGGTGGTAGTATAAGCTAAAGACTTTAGGAAACTATAATCAATTTTTTTTTTAAACTGAATGGAAAAAAAAGGACATTTCCTAGATATTTAAGAGATATATTATTAAGTGGACTCCAAATTATAAAAAATATTATTCTGCATTCTTGCCTAAAATTTTCCATATTTTTTTCTTAATTATGTTTTACTTCTTGAAAACTTCCATTACAAAGTCAAATTAGGGATTAGGATTAGGAAAAAGGTTGTATTGCACACAAAATAAAAAGAAAAACAAATAAGACCCTGTAAGGTAGAGAGAGAAATCAAACCTGATTTACAAAAATATATTCATGCAAAAGCTAGCCAACCAGGTAGGATGGTAAAGAAAACATAATTCTTGAATATTAAAACGCAGGTTTCTAATTGTTAAATAGAGGATATAAATCAAACTGCTCCAGTTAATATGGAATGAATGATACAAATGTTTAGAAATAATTCTACTTGACCATACTGCATTGAACATGAATTCGTTCAAACTATTGCATTTCCTTCTAAACGTTCGACAACTACAAAGATATTTAGTAGGTTGCTGCATAACTCTCACATATTTCACACAGTGTTTTAGTGGGATTTCTTCTGCTGTGCTCAGAGATTCCTTATGTTCCTGTTACGGGATCCACCGCATTCACTGGAAGAGAAACCTAGATCTTAGGAAAGAGAAAATGGCCCTAATATGCTGACCTGTAGAATGTGTGGCTTGAAAGCCTTTTCTTTGAACAGATGCATCAGAAATAAACCGAACAAACATTTTATTTCCCGTAGCCAAAAGGGGCTCTGGTATCTTGTTGCCACACAGTCGTCCGAGAATTGGTGATTTTTCTGTTTCTCCATCGAATACTTCCAAGTGATCATACGCACATTCTTGATGCTGCTCAATCTCAAACTCACTAAAGGCCTATTAAAAACAAAAAGGAAAAAAAAACCCACATATTACTCAAATGAGTTCTTTTCCTTGGAGCAGAAATGCACATCAATAACACATGCTCAGGACGCACAAATAAATTAATCCAGAAAGATCATCATTGAAAGGAGTGTGAAATCAGTAGAATGTAAAATCTCTAGAAAAACATACTGAGGAAAACAGCACAATAACTACATGTGAAATTCTACTCTTCAACCACTGCAGCTAAATCACGATCAAAACTATCACAAAACTATCACAATCAGCTCCAGAGTTTAGGTAAATTATAATAACAAAGTGATATTTTATTCTCGATATAACTCTGAGTTTATATTGAGTGCATCGGAAAATTTTAAATAATTGCATTTTAAAAATTGATTCCTTCTGGTTTTGATGACCATCACCCTACTTCAAAAAATAATTGTTACAGGGACACCTGGTTGGCTCAGTGGTTGAGCGTCTGCATTCAGCTCGAATTCTGCTCCAGGGCCCTGAGATCGAGTCCCGCATCGGGCTTCCCGTGGGGAGCCTGCTTCTCCCTCTGCCTGTGTCTCTGCCTCTCTCATCAATAAATAAATAAAATCTTTAAAAAAAATTGTTACATTTTCACAAAAATTAAGCACAGGAAATCTTGATAGAAGAACTAAAACAAAGAGCATTTTCACTATGTTCTTCTTTCTTTAGATCCTACAGCCCATATTATCAGAGAATACTAATGCAATTTTAGCCTAGCTTATTTTTAATTTACTTCTAAGATAAATGGTATTTTAATATTGAGAGTCTTGCAAAGTTTAGTATGCCCTTAAAAATTATTCTAAATTTCCTGTGTAATAATTTTTATGTATAGGTCTTAGCAAATTATCTTTCTTTAAAAAATACTTGTAGTAAGAATCACTATCAAACTTCCCTCCTTGGGCCAGAGACCCTTGTGGTGTTAGCAGAAGACATGCCCCTTGTGTAGCTCATTACCTACACTTGTGAGTCCGTTGGGCAGTCAGAGGCCTCAACTCTAAGCTCAAGTGATGTACAGAAGCAAATTCTTAAAATAAAAATTCATTAAGTGTATAACACATTAAACAACACAAAGGAAAGTTTAATTGAGACAGACAAAACAGTAATGTCCTAATTATTAATAATTCCACGAATTCTAGGTTATTTGCCATTGCCAACTAAGGCTTTTTTCCCTGCCCTAGAAAAAACATGAGACCTTCAAAAAATAAAGTATCATTCCCACTAAAATAAAGCTGGAGGAATAGAATATATTCTTAAAAAGTCATTAAGTTTCCTGCAGTCTCTGCAGCATAAAATATTTGCACATAAGTTTTTTACATACATGTTTTTTAACACAATTTTGCGGGGTGATCACCATTCTAAGTTTAAGGCATGCATTTTGGTAATTCCAAAAGAAAAAAAAAAAAAACTAACCAAATGGTTCTCCTTTAGTGCTGGCCAGTTATCTATTCCTTAACGAACCACGGTCTACCATCACTGGCTTTGGAGGAGTCAGGCAAGAAAGGAGAAGAAGCAATTTATATTAATTAGGGAGTAGGAGGGAAGAATGAAAGGTACTTAAAAGAAGAAATAAAAGAAAAGAAAGCGGGCTGATCTCTGCTTCCATAACCTACCACACCCTACTTAAAAAAGTCTACATCAGAATGTTCTAACCAATAAGCATTAGAGGGTCATTACTTGTCATGACCATTATGGGTGCAGAGGAATGCTCACCTCATTCTACGAAGACCCTGACTGGGTGGTGCCGGAAAGATCAATAACACACAGAGAATCTTACAAACAAACAACTCAGTGCAGGAAAATAGAGTGAACAAGAAGACTTCATTTGCCGTGAAGTACGCCCGCCGTCCCAGGCAGGCGATCACCGACCCTGGCCACTTATTTACGTCTGCAATCCAGTGGCAGAGAATGGAGTAGAGGGGACACAGCGCCTGGGATACGGGAGACCCTGCAGGGACAGTTGGCTGGGTGTCCATTCATTTACCTACCTACCTATTCCACGTTATGGCCAGCCCCACAGATGGAAACTCTGTGAAGGTGGCAGGCCAACCATGAAACCAAGCTCCTGAATTATAAGATCAACGTTATTTCAAGAAAAAAAAAAATGAAAGCATTGTTTCAGGAAAATAACATCTGAAAACCATTGTGTGTCCAACAATTGTCTTTTGCATGTGATTTGGAGTCATGCACCTATAAAGAGCGGAGAAGCCTACTGTGCAGGAGAGAAAACTGCCAGAGTGATGGGGGTGATGGCATTCTACAGCGCAGCCTCCAAGTAACGGTTAAAATGGGATCGGAATGTACAGACCACACATGTTCAGTCCATTGAAAACCCAGTGAATGAGATAACTAAGTGACTACTTCACTCCCTAATGAGATGCAGGACGTCTGGAGTGAATCATAACATCTGTTTAACAGAACAGAGCAACACCACACAGGGTGGCAGTGAGCTTGTGGGCTGGGGGCATACCGACACCTGGTCTGGAGCCAACTGGCTCCCGCTTTTTATCAAATTACTGATGGAATCAGACTGACTCTGTCCGAGTCGAATTAGGCAAAGGTTTTGCAGCTGACATACTCTCAAGTGATGCAAACAATTCTCATTCATTAAGGTGTTAGTGAATTTTCCTCTTGGAAATTGGTAGCAGCCCGTTAGGTCATCTGCTAGGATTGGGTGGTCCTTTTCCAGGAGGCGGTCGGACCCAAATGCTCCACCACACAAGCAAAAGTGTGACTGACTCACATGCCGAGATCTCATTAACCTGGCCCTTAATATCAGAGGGACAGCCACATCTAGAGACCTCCCTCTACAGCGATGTTGCCTCAATAAAAAATATTTCTAGGCCACAGAAAGGTATTACAGGGGCCCACGGGAAACTGGGAAAATCTTAAAAAATATTTTTGTAGAATTCCCAGAGATACAGTGAGATACACAATTCACCACTTTATTTTATGACACGTGCTGAGCCATGAACGTCTATGTGTCTGTGTCTATGATTTTAAGGTCACTAATCTAGGCTTTTTTAAAAAAAAAGAGAGAGAGAGCAATTAATCGTAAGCTCTAGTCACAAGTAACTAATTCATTTCCCACAAGGCAAACTAAGATTAAGGAGTCCCGTTCAAAAGAAATAAAACTGAATTCTCGTTTGAGGCTGTGGAAAGAATAACTGTGTGTTTCTGGAACACCCAGGCAAGCCTAATCTACCTAGCTGGCCACCAGCCAGGCCTGCGTACGCAGCCTCACATGAACATCTGCTTTTGTTGAAAATGCAGGCACTGGCTAAAGGATGAGGCCATTCGGAGTCGCCACATATATTCACAAAGGACAAGAAAATAGAATGATAGCATTTAACGCAGAAATAAAATTTAGCCAAGGTGACCATTAAAAGTAAGATGCACTTTGAGCAGCCGTGAGATAGGCTCAAAGACCCCGGTCCCGGCCATCCTCGGCCTTTCCCTGTCTTCGGTAAGAGCTAACATTGGTTTTCCCACAAGATACTGGAAGGATTAGAGGCCCCGGGGGAACATGGTGGAGTGGAATACCAACCCCAGCCTTCTGATTCAAAAGATCTTTTCTGTCCCATAAGTCCTCTAAAGCTGCAACCAAATACAGTTTTTCTGGATTGATGGTGGAGAATTATGCAACATTTGTAGATGTTTTTGTTTTCTAAATATCCCATATATGAAGCTATAAATTGCAACTATATAATTTAGCAAACCTCCAGGAAATGACAAATCAGATAAACATGACATAATATTAGCCTATTGCTGGATGCCCCTATGCCTGGAACTTTGTTCCTGCTTTGTTTTTCTGGTTTTTTTTTTTTTTTTTTTGTGTGTGTGTGTGTGTGTGTTTAATGCTTTAATATTTAAAAATATATTTTTAAAAATACCCAAAATTTAATAGTCCGTTGCATCACTCAAAACCAAGACAGATGAAGCCAGGAGTAAAATAGATCCTTGTCCTTATTCGTTCAGAACTTTATCTCTTCTCTTTTTTTTTTATTTTTAAAATATTTTATTTATTCATTCATGAGACACAGAGAGAGAGAGAGGCAGAGACATAGGCAGACATAAGCAGACCTGACGCGAGACTCGATCCCAGGACCTGGATCACGACCTCCACCACTGAGCCACCCAGGCGCCCCATCTCTTTCCTAATAAGAAGACTTTCACCCCACAAATATCTCTCAACCAAGGTTTCTTTCTACTTTAAAGCTGTCAACACAGAATCTCGTAACTCAACACGCACGAACACAGAGAACCAGAGCAAACGTGTCCTTTCTTATTGCAGCTGGAGCAATGACCGCGGGTTTAGTGGCTTAGATGACGCACATTTACTCTCCTAGAGCTAGGATGACCGTGAGAAGTCTAAGAGGGCGGGCAGCCCTGGATCTTCCAGGGGAAGGCAGGACCTGTTTCTTTGCATTTCGCCCGTCTTCTAGAGGTCGCCCTCATTCCTTGGCTCCTGTCCCTTTGCTCCATCTTCAGAACCAAAAGTATAGCATCTTCTCTCCTGTCTGGTCTCCTGCTTCCTCCCCGTAAACACCCCTGTGACCACATCAAGCCCACCCAGATAAGTCAGGAGAATCTCTCCATTTCAGGATCTTTAATTTAACCACAGCTCCTTTTGCCACAGAAGGTAACATGTGCATAGATTCTGGGGACGGGGGCAGGGACATCTTTGGGGGCTGGTGAGGAACATTATTCCATCTACTACAAAAAGTGTTTTCACACTGATTTCAGGGAAAACGATCACCAACACTTAGAACTCCATGATTTCAGACTCTTTTGCCCTGACCCTTTTAACTAACTAAATCCTACAGGCCAAGTCTGGCCCTCAGGCTGTTTTTAATTAAACCTTTACTGGAAATATAAAATAAATAAATAAAATAAAATAAAATAAAATAAAATAAAATAAATAAAATAAAACCTTTACTGGAACACAACCATACGCACTCATTTGTGTATTGTCTGTGGATGCTCTCACATAGAGCAGCATAATGAAATTGCTGCAACGCAGGTCACATAGTCGACACGGTCTATAATATTTCCTATCTGGCCTTTTAAAAAAAAGTTTCTGACAAGCAATCATTAGCTACGTCTTTAGTCGTCAGCATTGAATTTCAGATTCATAAGGCTACACAAAAACTTGATCATGGTTGGATTATCCAATGAAATGGTATATGATTATTATTAATCATTGTCACAATTATTCTTACTATTTGGGTATCATGTATCGATGTGTATTGGCTTTTAGTAAGACATCATGCCAAACGCTTTATCTGCAAGTTCATTTAATGCACACACAAAAGTCCTAAGTAGGTATTTGCTCCGATTTCCAAATGTAGAAATTGAGACTTAAAAAGATTAGCATCTTTCTCAAGATAACGTGGCTACTTAGGTTTAGACAAAAGTCACTGAGTTCCAGATCTATGTTCCTAATCCCTCCATATTTCTCTTTTGGGTATTCATTTTACTGAATCGCTGTATCTTTGTCTTATTAATATTTCCATTTAAATTACTATAAATGTGCACATACATAGTAATTATGGATGCAGGATGTTAAAATAAGAAAAAAAATGAGTAAAATGTAGAGAGAGAATCTTGGGCTTGAAGATACTTAGACTCCGACCAGCTTTATAAACTTGCCAACTTACCTAACCTGCCTAGGACGGCTTCCTTATGTTTAAGTGTCAGCTGTGATACTAACTTGAGATAATACACATGATACCACTTTGAGACCATCAGGCACTATAATCACATTAGTTTAGTCCAAGCACAGTCTTGTGAGGTAGAAGATGGGCCCAGGCAAGCTGCACTTTATTATTTGGAGAAGACTCTTAAGAAATGGAAACCTTGAGAACATTTATATTTTTATTTGTGGAACTACATATAAGAGAGAACCTATTTTAGAACAGGCCCTTTTTAAAGGACACACTCCAGGCTCTCTGGATCCCAGCACTCGAGCTTGCTACATTTACGTGAAGACAGTATTCCAAGGTTTTATGAAGATCAG